TGTTTCCAAGCACATATTCCTTTACGTTTTTAAGGGCAAAGTTTACAAATCGTGTGCTACCTCATAAATCGTCTTCCTATGCCCTTTCTCCACCACAAATCACCATATGAACTTTTACACCATACCTTCCCTGATTACTCTCATTTATGGGTTTTTGGTTGATTGTGTTACACTACCAATCTTTTTTCTAAACACAAGTTTGATGCACGGACCCGTCGATGTGTGTTTTTTGGTTACCCCCTTGTAAAAAAGGTTATCGCCTATATGATCTTGATACAAATAAATTTTTTTCCTCTCGAGATGTGGTTTTTTATGTACATTTATTCTATTTTTCTATATCCTCATCTGATTGTTTAGATGAATCACTTACCCTACCCAACACACCCCATGACTCAATACTTCTACTCGAACCCGACTCATCTCTAGACATCACATCTTTCTCTTCCCCACAACATTCCCATGTTCCTTGAGACATTGACTCATCTCCCTCTCTTACTGCCCAGTCCTCTTCACAACTACTAACCATTGTTGCCCCACCTCCTCGCTGCTTCACCCGCCCCACCAAACCACCTATCCACTTTCAAGATTACCAAGCTTACCACGCAACCATACTTGCCCCTGGTGCTCCTCCCCCAATCATGTCTGGCACTCGCTACCCCATCACTAGGCATGTCTCCAACTCTTATTTTTCTGCTTCGCATACCAATTTTGTCAATAATATCTCTCACTTTGTTGAACCTGGCACATATGAGAAGGCTCGTCATCACCTCTATTGGGTTGCGACTATGAACTTTGAAATTAACGCTCTAGAGGTGAATAATACTTGTTCCTAGGTATCCTTACTTGCCGATCACCATCCCATTGGTTGCAAATGGGTTTTCAAAATCAAATACCAGTCTGATGGTTCCATTGAAAGGCACAAAGCCCGATTGGTCGTTAAGGGTTTCACCCCATGAGAGGGCATCAACTATACTAAAATGTTTGCCCCTGTTGCTAAGCTTATTACTGTCCGCTGCCTTCTCACCATTGCCTTTGTCTCCAATTAGCCGCTCCATCAAATGGATATGCACAATGCTCTCCTTTATGGCGACCTTTATGAAGAAGTCTACATGCTTCCACGCGCTCTCCTTTATGAAGAAGTCTACATGCTTCCACGACTAGGGTATCGCCAATAGGGGGAGCACACGGTGTGTCATCTCCATAAATCCTTATACAACCTCAAACAGGCATCTTGCGGCTGGTTTCGTAAGTTTTCCTCTGCTATACAGAATATTGGCTTCCTTCAATCCAAAATAAACTATTCTATGTTTACACATAAACGTGGACAATCCTTCATAATTATATTGTTGTACGTTAATGATATGATACTCACTGGAAATGATGATGCTGCTATATGCTATCTTGAACATTTTCTCGATAACTGTTTCAAAATCTAAGATCTTAGACCTTTAAAATACTTCCTTGGGGTTGAAATAGCATGGTCCAAATCTGAGATTTTTTTTTGTCAATGAAAGTATACATTAGACATCTTAGAAGATGCGGGCTTACTCGGTGCTAAACCTGAAAAAATTCCTATAGAAGCCAACCTTGCCCTCATGCCTATAGGGGTGACCCCCTTAAAGATCCCACTAGTTACCAAAGACTCATTGGAAGATTAATCTATCTCACTTTAATAAGACCAAAAATCACATATGCCATAAACACATTCAGTCAGTTTATGCATGAGCCTCAGAAGCACCATTTTGACACAACACGCCACCTCCTTCACTGTCTGAAAGGAGCCCCTGACCAGGGGTTATTATTCCCCTCGAATATACCACTGCATCTAACTACATATTGTGATGCAGACTGGGTATGATATCTTTTCACTAGGCGCTTAGTCACTGGTTATTGTATTTTTCTTCGCAAGCCACTCATATCATGGAAGAACAAGAAGCAGGTTACTGTCTCAAGGTCCTTCATAGAAGCAGAGTACCGTTTCATAGCAGCCACCACTTGTGAACTCACTTGGTTGCGATACCTCTTATATGATCTCTAAGTGAAGCACAATTAAGCTGCCCACCTTATTTTGTGACAACCAATCAACACTCTACATAGAAGTTAACCCAATTTATCATGAACAGACTAAACACATTGAATTGGATTGCCATACTGTTCGTGAGAAAATTCATAATGAAGAAATTTGGATAGCTCATGTGTAAACAAAACACTAAATTACCGATATCTTCACTAAACCACTGCCTACACCATTGTTCTAGTCTCATCTTCACAAGTTGGGTGTAATTAATATTCACACTCCTACTTGAGAGGAAGTGTTAAAGGAAAAATACAATTAATCATAGGTTTTCTATTGTATTACAATCACTAAGATTTCCTTGTTTAAATTAGTTTTTTACTTAGAATAGAATTATCATCCAGTATAAATATTACAACCCATAACCCCTGTTTAATATAATTAAACAATACAAAAACTGCAATATTTCACATGCTTTCACATGAGCTATTGGATTAGCTGTTAGAACAGTATTTGGTTATAAATTTTTTTATTGGGTCCAAGAATGGGTATGGAGAGCTTCCTTTTTTTTTTTTTGATTAACGTGGGTGTCCAGGCCAGCTTGCGCACACCACGACTAATCCCACGGGCAGAAGGCTTCCTTTTTGGATACATCAAATTGTAGGAATTAGGATATAGCCCGTCTTATTATCAATGGAATAATCACCCATTTGGGTGTACTAACTTTTTACTCTTTCCCAATTCAATACCAAAAGTTTTGCCGCTCTAAGCCACTGGCTATGAGTCGACAACTCATTTTTTGACCTCCCACTATCTGGGAGCTTACGGTTTCATGTTCTATTCCACTCCTGAACAGGGTTCTTTTAAAAGAAAATATGATGCAGATCTTTAACCTCAGATGGAGGGAAAATATGAGCTTACGGTCTGTTGTTCTAAATCTTGACGAGCAACCTCCCCTGTTTCGGCTTTTGTTTTCAGCTAAAGAATTGGGAATTAAGGACACAGTACCAGCATATTTGGACCCAGCAGTTCTACCTCAAGATCTCATAACAGGAGTAACCTTTGCTTCAAGTGGCTCTGGCTTTGATCCCTTGACATCCAAATTAGTGGTGCATACATTCTCCCATTACTTTATTCTTTTCAAACATAAAATTTTCCCTTTTTGAATCCTCTCAATTCTAATTCTGGTCAAATTTGGTCACAGTCAGTCCTGTCGTTGTCAGATCAATTAGAACATTTCAAAGAATACATAGGGAAGCTGAAGGCGATAATTGGAGAGGAAAACACAATTTTCACCATAAGGAATAGTCTATTTCTAGTAGTAGCAGGCAGCGATGACATTGCCAATACCTATTTTACTCTTCGTGCAAGGAACTTGCAATATGATGTTCCTGCTTACACAGATCTAATGGCTAACTCAGCTTCTAGTTTCGCGCAGGTAAGCATCTAATTCAACTATTTCATATCTATCACATGAATATATGTTTTTTTTTCAAAAGTAATATCAATTTTTGTATTTGCATTCTATGTTTTTCTTGCAAGGAATTATATGACCTTGGGGCAAGAAGGATTGTTATTTTCAGTGCACCACCAGTTGGATGTGTACCATCGCAAAGGACTTTAGCAGGGGGGGCTGAAAGAGAGTGTGCAGAAAACTTCAACGAAGCAGCAAAGTTATTCAACTCCAAGTTGTCCAAGAAGTTGGATTCTCTTGCTAGCAGCTTGCCTAACAGCAGGCTTGTCTACGTGGATGTCTACAATCCACTGCTCGATGTCATTCAGAACCACCAAAAATATGGTAAATGACCCATTCCCTTGAGTTTTGGATAGTTTGAAAAGTATCTGTTACTTATCAGAAAGTGCTGGATCGGTTATCATATAGGATACGGGGCCATACGAGAGATTTTCAAATGTTTGTGCTCCATAACCTGTGCCACTGCATGTATTTTGTTGTTTTCAGGTTTTCAAGTTGCAGATAAAGGATGTTGCGGTACTGGGAATTTAGAGGTAGCAATATTATGTAACCAGCATACTTCTGAGACATGTGCAGATGTTTCCGATTATATATTTTGGGACAGCTACCATCCAACTGAAAGAGCTTATAAGGCACTCGTTAATCCTGTCCTTGGAAAATATCTGACCAAAATCTTCTGAGGCATCTCAACTTGCCATGGTCATGTTTTCATTCGCCTCCATGTATATTATTTCTGTGTTTTGTATTTGGTATTGTGGGGATGGCGTGAAAAAAGCTTAGATGGTAAACATCACAAGCTTTTCTGCAAATGTCTAGAAAGTGGCAAACCATTGTCCAAATAATGTGTGTTTTGTGTTTGAAATAAGGTGTGGCCCTGTACTTTCCCTTCATGTATGCATCTACAATTAAATTTCAAAAATAAAAATGATAAATTCATGTTCTTAGAATACAAAACATGAAGTGGAGCAACAAGACAGATATGAGACTGTTGTTCTGGCTTGACGATGGACTCTTTACCCTTTAGTAGCCATCAAAAACTAATTTCACCTCCATCTTGATTTTTCTTTCTTTCTAGGGTTTAATTTGGGTACCAAATCAGAAAAAATGAGTATTCCGTTAAATGCTTATAAGCTTTTAAAATAAAAGATCACCTCGAAACTTCAAGAAAACTAATGTTATTATTGATAAAATTTGATTTAAATAGGATGAAGACTAAATGCTTGCGAATTTACAATGATTAAAATAGTTATTATTATTATTTTTTTATCATAGTTATTAAAATTATACCGGTCTAAAAGGTTAGTTTTAAAAATTCTCAATTTAAAATATAATTTGATCTAAATTTTAATTTAAAATAAAAAATAATTTATAATTAAATTTGGTTAATCTATAACCTAATTTATCCAGTTAAATATAACCGAGTCAGCAATAATAAACTATTTTTTTTAAATAAAAAAATAAAATTTCATTTTAATAAAAAATATTAACTCAGGTTTAACAAGTATCCGATATACCAGACTGGCAGACAACATCAAATAACTAGCCTTGTGACCTAATAAAAAACAAGGGACGGCTGTCAAATTGAATCGAAACAGCATAGAAAACCCTGATACTAGAAGTGAGCATAGCATTTCCACGCTCTAAACGCATCGGTTTATTCCTTCCCGAAACATAATTTTAATTTCGACTCGATCGTTCCTGTTCAGTGAGTCAGCACTTGCCGCTCCCGCTTTTCAAATCAAGCTCCTTTTAGGGTTTTGGTGGAGATGGAGCCTGTAGCTTCAGTAGTAGACAAAATCAAAGGCGTCGCAAAATCAGGCCAAGACTTCGTCGACGGCCTCCTTCGCCGCCGCGAGAATTCTTCTCGCCGAAATCCGGTACCTGCAGATTTCTTCTCTTTCTTGTTAATTTTCATCGCTAATTAATTTCTTGCTCCTGTAGTTAATTGAATTTTCAATATTGTTAGCTAGAGCAATCTGAACTAATTGGATTCCATTATTAGTAATTTGATAGAAATCTGGGTTGCTTAAGCTTGACGGAAACTTGCTGGTTTCTTAGGTAACAGCAAGCTGTATGATGGAGCTTTACATCTCTTGCCATTTTATTATTTACAGATTGAGATACTGAAACGGCTGCAACGGGAAGCGTTTTCAGATCTAATGAAGCTAAGAGACAGGCAGGAGAAGGTTGAGAGAGTGCTTTCCTTTTATAAAACATTTAAAGGGAGTCCTTTTCAAGAAAAAAGTACACTTGTGAGGGGAGAGGTGGATGCTTCGGGAGCGATATTGATGGTGGGTGATATTGATCAGGAGCATTGTGATGCTGTTGGTAGAGCAGGAATAAAAACTGGGATTAGTTCAAGGTTAAGTTTTGAAACAATTGTTCGGCAGAAGGATTCTCTTTTGGCAGAGTTTGTGGCTAGTCAAAAAGGCGTGGTAGAGATCGGTGGTTTCTCGGAAGGTGCACTTACTCTAGCAAAAGTGTCGTATACGGCAAATGTTAATGACTGGTTTTCTGCTATTGTAATCCCAGTAGGAGCTCAATTTAGAGATCTTGATATGACTGCAAACTCTTCCAATCAGGTATGATTTGGTTGCCAATGTTAACTTTAATTTTGTTTCTTTGCTTGTTGTGTACTTGAACAATAAAACAGGAAATGCTTGCTAGCTATTTTAGGCACCGAGACCTTCCAGCAGTTTTCTTTCTGTTTTGTCGTGTGGCTATTATATTCTTTTAATGGTGCAGATGAGTTTGCTTGACCATATTGAAGCAAGGTGCTGCTCCCATCGAGACATTCGTGTTTCATTCTATTCTTAATTGTGATGGGAGTGGAACTATGTTATATCCTGATGTGTATTTTGATAGGAACTGTTGCTACAGCTGTCTCCAAATTTATTTAGTAAATTAATTGAGGTTCTCATTTCATGGCAGAGACATGTTGTTACTGATCTTTCATCTGTTGGACCACCACTTTTGAATCAGCACAGTGATGCGGCAATTGGCTTAACAGTGAGGAAATCAAATGTTATCGCTATGATGGCTCAGTCTGTTTCTGGACTGCGAAGGCAGCCATTTTTTGATGGAATTGGTCATGACTTCGGCACTTTTGGCCAAATTGTTTGTCAACTTCCAAAAGGAATAAAATTCTCACTTATGGGTCTGCAGCAAGTCGCTAAATCATCTAGTCACCACAGTAATCTCGGAGCCCTCGCCTTTCCTGTTGGCTTTCTGAAACGTAATGAATCTCCTGAAATATCGTTCCAAGACTCTGCACTACCTGTGGGAGCAAGCAGCCAAGAGATCACATCAAGAACTGGATATATAGCTCTAAAGTTGGAGTCGGAACTTGATGAGAGTACTAGAATTGGGGGGTGGATTGAGATGAAAAACTCAAATCCCAAGCATTTACAATGGGCTTTAAATGCATTTGATGACGCTGAAGATGAATTTGGATGGGGTCTGTGCCTCAGCGGGGTTTTTGTAGATCCTACCAACCATGGTCGTTTGCAAGCCGAATCATATGTAAAATTAAATATAGGGAAGAAATTCTGCTTGAAACCAGGCATTACATATTCAAGGGATGGTAATGCCAAAATATTAGCGCTTATGCTTAGATCCAACTGGTCCTTCTGATGACCAGGGGCTCTCTTTTTCACAGCAACATGAAAGGCTCCCTTTTTCGGGGATGTGGTATCTTCTCGTCAATTATATAGTTCTTGGCATGTCATCATTTTTTTCTACTTGTTTGCAAGTGTGAGCTGCCAAGATTTTGATGCTAAAGCAGGGCAAAGAAATATTTGCTCACATTCCTATCAACCATGCTGTGCTCTGATAATGTTTACAAATCATTTTAACACTGAATTGTTAGCTGGGCTTAAGTATGATCTTGGCTTTGCTTTATTAAACTATAATGGTTTTGTGTCGGAGAAAAGCATATGGAGAAACTGAAATTTACTAAAATTTTCCTTCAAGTATTGCAGCATTTATTTTTATTTTTCTAAATTCAATTAAGTTCTAGATTGGATTTTTTTTGTCCTATCAACAAAAAGATGGTTTGATTGCTAAATGATATCATAACAGTTCAAAACAAAGGGCATGTTACAGAAACTCATTAGGGTTAGCATATCATTAATTATTAAGTAGAAAAAAAAAAGAGTTCAATTACTTCATTAAAAGAAAAAAGTCTATAATTTTATAAAAAAATAAAATTAAAATCATAATTGTTAAACTTGGCCGGTTTGGTGGATGGGTTGATCTAAAAAAATTGTGATTTGGAGCTTGATTTGGTACAAATTTTAAGTTAAATTAGAAAAAATATTAAATAAAACAATATAATTTCCAATAAAAATATTTAGCCAGATTAGTTATAAAAAAAAATAATATTATTTTAATATAGATATCAATCCGATACCTGATAACTGTTGACTCTAGTGTGTACCGTGCCACCACTCGGCCTTGTCATAACTAGGCCCTATAATTTCCAATACAGTAATCTGGGCTTAGCCCTTTATGCTGGCTTTTCTTTCTTAGAAAGGAAAAAAAGTTCCACGTGGCAAGCTCATAAACAACAACGATCTCACCGCCACCGTTTCACACCGTAGATAAATATCGGGCTACACAATCCCAAACAGGATAAAGAATCTTCTGCTTCCTCGAGAGGCTAGCAATAATTTCTTGTCGCTGTAGCTTCTATTTTCTCTCAATCAAAGAGAAAAATAATGTCGGCGGGCCGGAAATTTATTCTGAAAAGCTCAGACGGAGAGTCATTTGAGGTCGACGAAGCCGTAGCCGTTGAATCGCAGACTATAAAACACATGATTGAAGATGATTGCGCTGATAACGGTATCCCTTTACCTAATGTCACAAGCAAGGTTCTTGCTAAGGTGATCGAGTACTGCAAAAAGCACGTTGAGTCCCCTAAATCGGACGATCGTCCTTCTTCTGCTGCTGATGATCTTAAGGCTTGGGATGCTGAATTCGTCAAAGTTGACCAGGCCACTCTCTTCGATCTCATCCTGGCATGTTCTTAATCTTTGCTTATTTTGTGTGGGTTTTTCTGTTATGGGTTTTGATCTAATTGCTAGGGTTTCGATCTAATTGCTTTAATTGAATTCTAGGGTTTTAATTTAATAGCTTTAAATTAATTACTAGGTTAGGGTTTGTATTTGTTTTGACCGCTTGTTTGGCTGTTGAAGTAATGAAGTCTACGGAATATAATGTGAATCAGGAAGCCTGTCTTCATTGGGGATGTTGAAGTTTATGCCTTCAGATTTTTTTTATAAGACGTTTGGTGTTATGAATGTTGCTGTGCAGTTTGCGGCATGAAAGATGAGAGGTAAGAGAAAGAATTGGCTTAGAATTTTGGAATGGTGTCGATTATGTTGGCTCGCTGGGTTTAATGGAAGCTCTGAAGTGAGTCTACTAACAGTATCTGTGGCTGTGAGCATTCTGTGTCGTTGCGCCTGATGGGAAAGTTTGGTAATAGATTTCAAGAAGTCATATTTGTGCATCTGAGGATTTTTGTTTACTGTTGAGGGTTATAAGAATAAGATGTAGTTTATGTAGATGAAGATCTGCTTGAATTTGTTGTTTGACATACTTTAATGTTCTTGCATTTCTGGCTGTAATCATGTCTCTGGCTAACATTTTCTTGAATTTTGTGTGGTGTTTAGGCTGCCAATTATCTGAACATCAAGCACTTGCTGGACCTCACTTGTCAGAGAGTGGCTGATATGATCAAGGGCAAGACTCCAGAAGACATCCGCAAGACATTCAACATTAAGAATGACTTTACACCAGAGGAGGAGGAGGAGGTTCGGAGAGAGAACCAGTGGGCATTTGAGTAGAAGGAAAGAAGTTCAACCTGTATTTCTAATTGCCTTCTGTGTTGGACATGGATGGATGTTAAGGTTTTAATGCTTTGCAAACAATTTCCATTTTGTTTCTATGTCCCTTGTCTCCCCACGTCAGTTTCAATGTGTTGATATGGTATATGTCCTTGCCTTGTGATTTCTTTGTGTTTTAGATTACCTAATTATGCCATCTGTGATATGCTATCGATGTTTCACCATATGATGCCCTACTACCAGTTCTTTGGCACCTCACATGTTTGGAACCTGCAAGCAAGTTTTATGTGATTGGGATGCTATGAAGTGGTCAATTTCTTGTTTAGGTTCGGAAGAAATCCAATCTTAAGGTGATGTTAAGGATATTCAGGTCCCTTGCAGTCTTATCCAATGACTAGGCTGAGAGATCTCAGTGAGAATATAAATACAATTCTCAGGAAGCCGTGTAGCACATGCATTCTTATATATATGCATTGAGCTTGAGATGATATACTGTGAGCATCACAAGCATTCTTGTATTTATTACTTGTAAAATGCATCTTTTTGATGTAGTTGTTTCCTGAATCACCTACTACTTGCGACGAATGGAGTGCGGACATTAAAATTTTTGGCGGTCCATGTAATTGACCCGAACATGTCTTTTTGTATTGAAGAGACAGTTGGAGTGAAAATTATGTGATAACTCAGTCTTTGGCCGATCTTTGTGAACTGCAAGCTAGTTGGATGTACGGTGACTGTTAGACCAGTAGGTGCTTCAATGGTTAGAGAGTAAGTTGTGGTACCATCTCCAGCAACGTTTGTGAGGGTTCTGGTGATGTTCCTACTGTGTTTTCCAGTGAGGTTGAAAACTGCTATTGACGGATAGTTGATATTGGATATCATATTGGCTTCTGATTTCTTCGGACAAGCAAAACCAGCAGGAACATCTTTGGAAATAACTTTAATTGTGGATATGTTGTACCCGTGATAGCACAGGAAGTTTAAGTAGTCAGTGGCGGTGGTTTCATAAACTAGCCCTGGTTGCAATGCTCCGTTCGTGCTCATTTCACCCGCCCCATAATCATAAGCTGTGGCTGTAGCTCCTAATTCTGTTGTTATTGGGGCCTTCATATTGTTTATCTGAGATGCTGTATTCCAGAAAAAAGGAAGGAAACCGAGGAATTCATGGATTAATACGAGATTATGAAATATGAACCAAGTAATTTATCCAGGCTCGTTATAGACCTTCACCTGTTGTCATAATGGCAGACTTGATAGCAGAGGGACTCCAAGAGGGGTAATGGGATTTGAGCACAGCAGCCATTCCAGAAACATGCGGACATGACATGGAGGTTCCTGACATGATTTTAAATTTTGGGATGTCAGTTACTTTTCCGTCAGAGGCCGTCCAAGCTGCAAGTATGTTTGATCCCGGTGCGGCTATATCAGGCTGCAAAGCAGGAAGGCAAGAGAACAATTCATTAACACACATACCTGTGGATCGAATCAAATAATATGTAGCTAGGAGGTGTAGGCCTTGCCTTGAGGATATTCCTTGAGATGGAGGAAGGCCCTCTGGATGAAAAGTAGGCTATGGCAGGTGCTGGCTTATATTGTGACACAACCGTGGTGGGTAGGATTGTTGCAACTGGATTTCTGGGAAGATATAAAAATTTTCAGAACTAGTTATATCCTAAAACTTTGTCATGATTCTGTCACTTGTACAGCTACATGTAAAGATTGTACCGAGATAATTGTGTCTTACTTAGTTGAGTTTAGGTAGGCCAAGATCTCGACAGCATCCTTTGATCTGATCACAGTCATTGGAAATTCATTGAAATCGGATGCATCTCCATTTGTCTTGTCGCTGACCAAGACAGCACCAATTCCTTCCAAGTTCCGCACCTCGTTCATCTTATAATATGAGTTTATATCTTCATCATTGTCACAAATGACGATTTTTCCTTTGATCTTTTTCCCATCCATTGAATCTGGGTAGCAGTTTCTGGACCAACACATGTTCTATGACACAAGTCTATGGTGCCAATGTCTAGGATCCTTGTGAACTATTTGTATCTCTTATGAGTTTAAGCTAATGCATTTGTGATTATTTCTCATCTTTAGAAGCAAAATAAGGGGCTATCACATAGATATTGCATACCTGGCATCTCTTTCGTCCGCACCGGCCTTCTTAGCTGACTTCGCATAAATCAATGGATGTACTGGAGATTTTCCAATATTGGCAAAATTTATGGCTTCACCCTGAATTGAAATGAGAACACTCGTTATGTTTCAAATCCACAATTTTATTGGATGAAAGATTACTAGTAGCAAAAGCAAAGCTTAAAGGTAACTTCATCAAGAAAAGCAACTTGATTACTTCTAAGAAAAACATCTTTACCTTGATCACCTTGTTTTTATCAAACGCAACATTAGACTCGAATCTCCGATCTATGGTTGTTGCAGCAACTGTCAGAATCCAGGGCGCACCATTCGAAACAGTTTTTTCCGATGGCCCATCATTCCCTGCAGAGCAGACCACGGTGATACCATTCTCAACAGCATGGAACGCTCCAATGGCTATTGGATCATTCTTAAAATCGGAGATGCTTGATGCTGGTGAACCTAGTGACAATGATAGTATATGAACACCGTCTTTAATGGCATCACTGAATGCAGCTAATATACTGGACCCAGCACATCCGTTTGGCGTACATATTCTGTACACAGCAATCCTTGACCCAAGTGATCCACCTTTCGCAGTCCCGGAAGCTAATCCATGGTAAGATGCACCAGGGACCTTAATTCCTGCTGCAGTCGAAGCTACATGAGTGCCATGACCGTTCATATCTCTTGGTGTATTAACTAGTCCGTCATCGTCAGGGCCATTGTAAGATCTTGCTCCAATTATTTTTCTGTTGAGGATCAAAACCATAAACATCATGAATAAACATAAGCAAACTAATGGAAGAAAAAATTGTCCAATATCCAAATTCTAGTTGACAGCGCAGGTTTTACCTATTACAATTGGATGAGTTGAAATCTCGAGCTTCGAC